TTTATTTTGTTCATTTACGCTGTAATTCAGAATGTTTCGTGATCTTGTTTGGTGACTTTGTCTAATATATCTTGACAGGCTGAAGAACTTCAGAATCTAATGGAACAAGATTACGATATTGGGTCAGTTGCAGCTTTCCTCGTAGCTTTGGGATTCCTTTTGAATTGATGTTTGGATTTGCTTTGAACTTGGTCCCAACAACTTCTACATCTTCTATGAATTGAAAGAGTGAAACTGATGTTTCTTTTGGGGCTTCCATGTTTGCAGCTCGACAATTCGGGACAAAATCATCCCCCATGCTGTGTCATGGTTTACTGGTGAGGCTGCTGAAGGGGATGAATTTGAAGATATTGAAGATGCTGATGATGACGATGAAGATGAGGACGAAGAAGATGAAGAAGATGAGGATGATGAAGAAGAGGAGAAGAGCAAAAAGAAGGTAAAAATTTGTTTTGCCTTACATCTACAAAGTGATAATATTATTTCCCTTATTTTTTTGCTGATTTTTCCTTGTATGTCCATATGATTTATTCGATTGTCCTTGTAGTCTTCAGCACTAAAGGTGGAATGAGCAGCTATGATGGCAGTTATTTTAGGTGATATCGTAAATCGCCTTCCATTTTCTTTAGTGCGTGACTTTGTATTTATTTGATAAAAATGTAGAAGAGGTCGAAAGCACAAGTCGGAGAAGGTCAGCAGGGGGAACGTCCTCCAGAGTGCAAGCAGCAGTAGTTTGTTTTTTTGCCCTTAGCAGCTGATGGAACTCCTACCGTGCCATTGGTATTTAATTTTGCGTTGATCATGTTAGTATGTCTGCTCATTATTTTTTTTGTTTATTCATTTTCCGGTCTTCCGTATGTAAAATCTAGTGGGGCGTACTGTGTTTGCTTGGGTTTAGCTTTTGCTTTTCATGAAAATTTCACATTTATATCCTGACCTTATCTACCTCCCCTTTCAAGCTTTCTCTGTGGTCGTTGTGTTTCAGTTACAACCTACACTACTGCAAAAACTGAAGAGTACAAGATGCATTGAAATTTGTTTATTCTGCAATGCGTGTGAAGATAAGTTGTCAGATCCGTACACATTTTAACCACGCTTAAGAATGATGCACGTTCTATTTCCCATTTCTTCCCTGTGCTGCCAGGGCATAGGTTTTTGTAAGTTGACTAAAAGGTCACTGTTGTGTGTTTTCGTTTTATCTGACGTTACTCCCCCATTGTTATCGTGACTTTTGGTTTCATTTCCTCCATCAAAGAACTGAACGAGAACTTGGCTGAAAATGTTGCGATCGGAGACACCTTCACCAAAACGAAGCCCGCGCCTAGTTTTGCTGAAACAATTGAAACCGAAAGTATCCCATCAGCAGAACACAAAAATTACAAACAGAAAACGTAAGTTGGAGGAATTTGCCAACTTTTGAAAACTTGAGGAACGTTTCTTGTACAATGAAATAGCATAAAGCTATAATTAAATTCAAGTGACACTAGGAATGATAATGGTGAAAAACTCATCGGCTTCTGCTGTTCTCACTACTACCTTGGGCTGAGCATAGTTTTGGCAAATTCAAAATCCAAACCGATATTTGAATTTTTTGTACTTTTGGTTTGGATTTTGGATTTAATTTTGAATTGTTTGGATAATGGATTTGGTATTACGGATTTTTGGACATCCGAAAATCTGAAATTTTGTATTTTATATTTAGTCCATTATCCATATGTTGATAGTAATAAATTCAACACCTACCCATTAGTTATTATGTCATATATTTAAAATTAATTATTAAGTTACTGTTAGAATACTTTCTATTTGGACATGATTTTACTATTGTTACTTCCTATCGGCTCTGTTGTATTTTTTTAATGATAATTTTATCTCTTGAATACTTTATTTGTATGATTGTATGATTGCGGCAAGAATGAGGGACTTTTCATGCAATTTAATATGAGTATTTCATTTGGATATTCATTTTTGTATAAAGTAGAAACATCTCAACTTATACGCTCAGAACCAAATATCCGTAATATCCAATCGATTAGTCCGAAACCGAACTTAAAAAATCCGATCAAATCGAACTTGTTTGGATTGGATTTGGATTGTCATTTCTTCAATCCAAAAATTGAAAATTCAAACCGAAATTCTCACATTCAATCCAAATTGCCCGAGCGCGCACCCTACTGCCACGCGGCTTCACATATAAAGTAAGTTCTGCTCAGAAAAAAAAATCAAAATTATGTCTTATATTTTATACTGTCTAATTAATGGGTTCTCCAAGTGCGCAGTCTACTCTTAGGGGATCGTTGGTGCACTTGACAGTATAGTGAACATTTCCTAGCAAGTGAAGAACAGAAAATAAAAAGAGTTTTAAAAGGTAAGTAAGCGGATTTATACTGAAAAGCCCCGATTATTCTATTCTATTGAAGTGAGAAACGGAATGTCAAAAGCCTTATTGTAGTAGAATGTTTAAACGAATTTTTAGAATCAAATATAACACATGAATTATTATAAAATCTTTAGAAAATACACATGACAAAAGTTTGAGTGTCGTAACTAGATTATTGCCGATAAAAGGATCCCCATTATCCTTTCCGAATTAAAGCCGACTCTAAAGCCTTTCTAATAATTTAGGACTTTACTTATCCTTTTCCAACTTAAAAAGGTTTCCTTTTGCTGCCATGCACCCGTTTTAATAATTTATATATAGTACTACTAGAACTTGCCATGCAGTAATCACCCTGTAGTCCGAGCAGCAAACAACCAACAACTTAAACTTTACATCATTTTAATGGATTATGCGCCAGTGGTAGTGAATGATATTTGTTATGCCTACGAAGATGAGAGTCTCGACATAAGCTGCGTTGAACCAACACCTTACGACCAGTTCTTCATCAAGATTGAAGTTGAATTTCGGAAGTTGCCGGACAAGATGAAAATAATGGTGAACCGGTTTTCTCCCGGTTAGAGATCACAAGAAAAACCGAAATATTTCTGGAGCGATATCATGTAGCCGATTGCCATGCAACTACTTATCGTGGCACAGAGTTATAAGAATGTTGGATATAATGGGAGTGCCGTATATGATCATGAATATATGTTTTATCGTATGTGGTTATGTGCAGATAAAATTGTCAATGAACCTCACAACAGGAACAAGAAAATACTCCCAATGAAGGTTTTTATTAGTATCGCTGTCAATTACTCTTTAGAAGAACCTGACGATTCCTTTATTTGTTTTGGTTCATATGAATACAGTTGAATTCAAAGCAATTCCAGCTGGGAATAAATATGTTGAGCGTTTAGAGAAAGTGAAAATAGAAGAAACAAAGTTCGGAAGTGAATGTGTACCATGGAAATTGTTTGATGAACTGGTTAGCTGTGAAGAGGGTTTGTCCTCTTTGCCGGGTTGTGTTGCCCTATTAGCCGCGAGCAGATGCGAATTCAGAATTTAGAATAGGTGAGTTTAGAATAAGTGTGATCATCGGTATTATATATTTTGAATCTTATTTTTTAAATATATATATGCATAGTTTGTGCAAAAAGCAATTGTTCAGTTGAAATCACATATCCCTAATTCCTAGTTTGTTTAAGAAAGTACTATGATTTTTTGGTCCTTTGGTGCATCGTAGACTACTAGATCTCTGGCAAATAGTGGAAAGTTTTGAAGCTTTTTATACTGTTTAACAGTCATTAATTAAGATAATTTACTTATATTGATTAATCTCTCCAATGTTGAGTTACGTTTATCGATTGACAAATCCAAACCAATTAAAGTTCAATATCCCCCAAAAAGAAAAAATGAACAGCATTGCCCGAAACCTTAATTACACTTCTAACAATTTTATTTTGTCAAAGGATCATAAGATCATGTTCTTTTGGGGAATCTTAGTAGCTCAGTTGGTTGGCTACCTACCTAAACTTTCACCTGGTTACCTAAGGTTTGATTTCCCATTTTGTAAACCGCTCTCCCATTCACCCCCGAATCTTAGTAGCTCAGTTGGTTGGCTACCTACCTGAACTTTCACCTGGTTACCTAAGGTTTGATTCCCCATTTTGTAATCCCCTCTCCCATTCACCCCCTTTGCTGTGATGCAATGGAATTAGGAGAAGACAAATAAAATTGTTATTGTGATTATGTTGCTAAATAGTGAACAATCCCAGGGCTTTGTGTCACTAGTAATAGCGCAATACGTGATGTATGATTTAGGTTCATGTCAGGGGTTCAATTGAACTCTGCAAGCCAAAAAAGTCTAATATTTAAGTGAAGGAGGATTGAGAGGTGCACGAGTTGGCTCTCAGGAATTTTTCAGTACAATAATAACAATAACAATATACCCACTGTATTCCCGCAGTATGGGGTCTTGGGAGGGTAGTATCTACGCAAATATTACCTTTACCTTATGAAGGTGGAGAGGAATTTTTTAGTAAAAACAAAAGAATGAATAGCACAAGGGGTTCGGAGCAAAATAGACCACATGTTTGATAATTCTGAAGAAAACTGCTGTGTGTTCTTTCAAGTCCTTTTACTGATGCACTCTTTTGGCTACATAAAGCTTGTGGGTACAAGTGCCTCTGCTTTTTGTTAAAGTCTGATGCATTCAGTAGTTAAGATGCTATTTCTACATCTGTTGGAACCTAAAAGCTCCATGTTGTGAAGTTTCTATGGTATAGTCAGACCTCTGTACAACATTATCTTTATATAACAGCCATTCACTATAATAGTCAAGTTTTTTTTGGAATCGATTTTTATGTTATGTTATGTTATAATATATGTCCTATATAACACCACATTACTATAGCAATCAAAAAATATTGGAACAAATGAGGCTGTTATAGAGAGGTGTGACTATATAATGCAACTTGCGAGAAACAAACACAGTTTATTTAAGTATATATGTCACGTGGCATGTAGTGTTTGAGCTACGGCTAAAACCCATATTTTTTATATGGAACAAAAATATATAAGTGAAAAACAACGAAATCTCAATAAAGATTAGATTAAGAAATTATAATTTCAAAAGTACCGTGAGTTCATTGCTACAACTAAACCATCAAGATCAAGTTGTGAATCCATCTCTACATATGCCTGTGCATAGATGGATTATTATTATTAATAATAATAATAATAATAATAATAATAATAATAATAATAATAATAATAATAATAATAATAATAATAATAATAATAATAATAATAATAATAATCTCAAGAAGATCTATGTTGGTTGTTTTAATTGATCTGCGCTGATTTCATGCTCCAAGCAGTCAAGCCTAAAATATCAACATTCTCGGAACCATTGTTGAAGACATACAAATGAGTTCCACCATCCACTGCTAAATTAGTTGGATAAACTCTTGCTGTAATGAGAGTTTTTCCCTCTCCACCAAAGCTCTCCACTATTGAGTGATCAATCTACAAAAAAAAGAAAAAAGAAAAAAAAAAAGAACACGATATAAATAATAATATTCTCATTAATCCATTATATTTTGGGTGCATTTGATATTACATAAGTCATTTTCAGGGAAAATATTTTTTGCAAAATGACTTATATGTTGGAAAATGTTATCCAATGTTTAGTTTGAATAATATTTGTGAAATAGAGAGTGTTTCGATAAATTTTTGAATATTAAACACTGATATTAATGTCTAGGTGTGATTAAGAAAAATAATTGTGAAAGAAAATGATTCCTGCCCAAAAGTATAAGAAGGTAGTTTGCCACTTTTGGTGGAAATTATGTTTTCGCATTTTTTCCTGACCATCAAACATCAGAAAATAATTTATTTCATAAAAAATATTTTTTTAATCGTACCAAAGTCCTTAGCGACAATTTTTCTAGAACAGGATCCACATTCAAGAAGGCTCCATAAGTAGTTTTGTCATAATCACTAGAAGGCAAGTGTAAGGAAGACCTACACAACATGAAAAAAAAAAAATTTAATTAAGGAAAAAAATTAAATTAATTAGGAAAAAAAAAAGAGAGATTAAATATACCTGCTCTGGTCACTACACATGAGCACTATAAAATTGTTATTTTCTCTTTTGAAAATTCTGAAGAAAATTGCAGTATATTCTTGCATGTCATCGGATGCCAAGACTAGCAATCCAAATGGTCCTATCCCACCTTTTACTGATGCACCTTTTATGCTACAAACTTCTTGTGGATTTGTCCAATTTGCTTCCCATATTTCTGCTTTTTCCAAAGTTTTCGCTGCAAAAGAAATTTCTACATCTGCCTGTAAAGAGTATAATAATTATAATTAGTTAATAACAGAAGGAGCCGAGGATCTATCGGAAACCGTTTTCTCTATCCTTCCAGGTAGAGGTAAGGCTGCGTACATTCTATCCTCAGAGGCGGATCCAGGATTTTAAGTTTATGGGTTCCTGTCGCAATTTCAAATTAATATACAATAATAATTGAGTTCACAAATAGATATTTATAGATATTTAATAATTTTTTTGGACAAAAATACAGGGTCTACGCAAAAGTTACTGGGTTCCCGGGAACCCGTATATTACACCCTAGATCCGCCCCTGTCTATCCTCCCCAGACCCCAATTGTGAGATTATACCGGGTTGTTGTTGTTGTTGTTGTTGTTGTAATACAAGAAGGAAGGCATGGTTTTAACTTTTATCATTATTGTATGCTGATAAATCGTAGGTTTAGCCGAGGGTATCCCAGAAACAGTCTCTCTATCTCCACAAGCTAAGGTAGGGGTAAGATTTATATATACTTTACCAGTTTATCCTCCCCAAACCCTATAATGTGGGAATACACTAGGTTTGTTATTGTTGTTGTTGTTGTGTTATATAGTAGGTTTAACACAAATGGATTTAAGTTTTAGCACTGACGGTCAGTAAGATATTTACGCGATCAAGTTACTTATAATGTAATTATAGCTAAATCTCGATGATAAATATTTTTTAGGATTAGCTCATATATACCGAGATGTAGAAGAATTTTATACACGGTATGTTTTAACTTGTTTTATTAGCTGGTAATCTCTTTTATTTTTCAGGTAACTAATCCAGCTTTTTATGAACAACTTTTATTTATCTTTTAAGTAACTTGATGCGTAAAAGTTCTTTTCCATTGTATATAAGTCAAACTCTAATTAGAAATATGATATGTAATAGATAATAACAAAACCAACTATAATAGGTTAAACTATATATATAAATAATATAAAAAATATTACGTCAATGTATACAACTTAAATAATTAAATTACCTGTGTAGTTGTGACTCGGGATAATTCACGTACTGATCCAGCCATGAGCACAGTATTACCTTCAACAACTGGATTATTCATTCTAAGCTTTTCAATTTCAACAATTGGCCATTGCAACAATTGATTTCCAGATTTTTGAAGCCAAATTCTTCTAGGAATTCCTTGAAGACCAGCCCAACCTCTAATACTATTTATATCAAGATTATTTACTGATTCATTTACCCATCCAAATAAAATTCTCCTATTAGTAGCACTATCAAAAAATGTTTTTGAAGCATAATACTTCCCATAATCATATCTAAATCCTAATCCAATATCCAAGGATTCATTATCTGGAATAAAAATATCTTTATTTGGATTATAAATTCCAATTGTATAATAATCAGAATTTGCTACACTTGCTTTAAATATATGTTTTATATTTGGACCCATAATTGAAGTGTCTAAACCAATTTGACTAATTGTTGAAACTGGGAAAAAATCAGGACATTCCCACATTCCAGAATTGTTTAAAAAATGTAAAGGTTGTTCAGTTTGAATCCAATTAATAAAATTCTTGCTTCTGTATAATAAACCAATTCCTGTGTCATTTTTTTTCTTTCCAACTACCATTCTCCAATTACCATCTGTAGGATTTAACCAAGCAGTAGTTGGATCTCTGAAATTTTGACCATCAATTTTGTTCACTGAATTAGGTGTTATTAGTGGATTATAAGGTGATTTTACCCATTCTATAAGGTAAGGGTCCAATAAATTTTTGGGCACGGCTAGATTTTGAACTTGGATATCGGAAAAGTCTACTCCGGTATAGAGAATTGCCGGTTTTCCGCCGGAGAGAATTGTTGTAGAACCTGAAAATAACAATATCAATTAAGCCTCAATTTCAAATAGGTCCGAGTCAATCATATAAATCTTCACCAATCATGTTGCTTCAATTAAGTTTATCTTAAACGTATAACAACAACAACAACAACTTAATAAGGGAAAAGGTCCAGGATGTGCCACTATACTATTGTAAATAGTCATTTTTATCATCTGTTATACTTTATGTCTAAATTTACCCCTACCGCACTAAGGAAGTAAATAAATTTGCACAGTGGCACCCGACCTAAGATGTGCCACGTAAGCGTCCATGTCAGCATTTTTATAATACTTTTTAAAGTATAAAGAAAGATAAATGTAGACTATTTAATCATCATCATAACAACAACAACAACAACAACAACAACAACAATAATAATAATAATAATAATAATAATAATAAGAGAATTTTATATTTTATATTGGCATATAAATCTCTAAGCGATTTCAAAAAATTGTAGAACCTGAAAAACAGCCTTTAAAATCATAAGGCTCTGATCGGAGTAGTGCCGGCGGCTGAGGAGTCCAGTTGACGAGATCAGTTGATGTAGAATGTCCCCAAACTATGTTTCCAAATTGTGCATCATAAGGATTGTATTGGTAGAAGAAATGGTAAATTCCCATGTATATCATTGGCCCTGCATGCATAATTTTTTATAAAGATAAATTGGTCTAAGCAATTTGATTAATCAACCATGCATTTATAAAGTTACTTTTGGTACTATGGAAGTTATTTTTGAGGAAAATATTAAAATGACTTCATTCACTTATGAGTGAAGATTAGTTTTCTTACAACTATCTTAACTCATACTATTATTTATAGGTACTCCAATTTCCAACTAACACTCTACAACACTCGAAATTTCAGTCAAAACATTCTCTGATTTGCTAATATTATTGTTAATTTTCACCATAATTTTTTTTAGAAAAATATTTTTCATTCAACAACAACACTGAAAAATATTTTTCGTGGATAATATTATTATGAATGGAGAGTAATTTACATCGTAACTAAGATTAAAATGATCAAAGAGGTAATTAACTTGAGAAACTTACCATTAGGATCTGTGGAATCAAAACCAAAGGTTGTGTATTTGATCACCATAAAGTCGTACGTAAACAACAGAAAAAGAAAAAAACAAGGATTAGGATAAATAAATTAGTAGCAGAAATTCAAGCTATCAATGGCTAATTTACTTAAGAAAAGTTAAAAGCAGTTTACCGTTCATCCAATACTTAGCAGGTTGAAAATGAAAAGCAGTCCTGTATATTTGATCGGGTGTCTCTATTTCATGAGAAGCAGCTTCAAATAGCCAAATTCCATAGCCATGAATTGAAATTAGTATTAAAACTGGAATATAAAGTCTGAGGTAATTGGCCATTCTTGGAATTTGGTTTTGCTATGAAATATGAAAGGAATGTACGTTTCAGAATTTTAACATATATTGATCTGATGTTTCATGCAAACAATATAACGTTCTGAAATTCAAACTGGTTGTGTCCTCTGAAATTGTTGAAACATAGTAGCTGATTTATAACTTTGCCATGTGCAAGGTTGGAATTGATATTATCTTTTCGTCATAATTATAATAATAATTGGACCATCCTTCTTGGCATGCGTTAATGATGGGGAAGAATCATAACCGCCGTTCCCAGACGCCATATCTCCACTTGGGCCTCATTGGGTAAACGGAAAGAGAAAAAACTGGACCATTGACCAAGGGGCAAGCTACACATTTGGCCTGTATTCCAAAAATAATTACAACTGATTATTATGTATAAAATATATATTATACAAATCATATACATGCTGCCCACTGTTTATTGGGAGCAGCTATAGAATAAGGGGGAAGTGCACGGTTAGCCACTAATAACACATGTATTTATTTTTAAGTCACTTTTTAAAATGTCTTTAGTCTTTAGCCATTGCTTTAATAAACTTTACATGTCCGGACGAAAACACCCTTCTGCTCATAAAGTTTAGGACCAAGTGTCCTTAACTTTTGAACTTGCAACTCTAAGTTGAGGACTTCAGGACTACATTCCTTAACTTTTGAACTTGTAACTCGAAGTTCAGGGCCCCATGTCCTTAATTTCTGTGCTTGTAACTCTAAGTTAAGGACTACTTGTCCTTAACTTTTGAACTTGTAAGTCTAAGTTCAGGACCTATTGTCGTTTACTTTTGAGCTTGTTAGTCTAAGTTCAGGACCAAGTGTCCTTAACTTTTGAACTTGTAACTGTAAGTTCAGGACCAAGTGTCCTTAACTTTTGAACTTGTAACTGTAAGTTCAGGACCAAGTGTCCTTAGCTTTTGAGCTTGTTAGTCTAAGTTCAGGACCTATTGTCTTTAACTTTTGAGCTTGTTAGTCTAAGTTAAGGACCTATTGTCCTTAACTTTTGGGCTTGTTAGCCTAAGTTCAGGACTTCAGGACCTATTATCCTTAACTTTTGAATTTGTAACTGTAAGTTCAGGACCTATTGTCCTTAACGTTTGAGCTTGTTAGTCTAAGTTCAGGACCAAGTGTCCTTAACTTTTGAACTTGGAACTCGAAGTTCAGGACCAAGTGTCCTTAACTTTTGAACTTGTAATGAAAAGTTCAAAAGTAGAGAAACTATTACCTGCTATATGCGGGACAGACAGTTATCACCATCTTCAAAATAAAAAGTTCTAGTTTATCCTTTAAATTAGTTGCCAAGTGTATTTCCCATGCGGGTGCTTCGTTCAAACTATCTTAAGAGGAAATAGTTCTAATCTGTCCTAGAAAGGTACCAACTTCTGCTAATGAATCTTTTCTACCAAGTGTCTTATGCACACACTATCAAATAGCAGTATGCAAAACGAAGATGTTTGTCATCAGTGTATCCTTTATAAACCCACTAATTATATGAGAAATTATCATCAGAGTCGGAGACACCTTACAAAAGGAGAATCCAATGGAGTCCACGGCAGTCGTCTTCTCACAGACGGTGGCACAGTTCTTCTTCCTAACATGAAAAAGATAGAAGAAAGGGTAACACAGTCTTTTCATATTAATTTTAATAAACTAGTGGCTATTATTGCTAAGCATTGAAAATGTTGGATAAAAAGTAAATACCACTTTAAAAAGTGACTACCCCACGCAATTTTTACTGTAGTTTCCTCTTGACTTTAGGCCCAATCTACGAGCGAATGGACAGACCTACCCTTACACCTCTTGGTCAACAGTTTGCCCATGACTTTATTTCCAAGTTGTAACTGTGCCCATGACAAACTTGTTTGAATTTGTTATCTGAGAGCATGCCGTGTGAGCTGAATTATAATAACTCGAGATCATAGCATACGAACATCATAAGAATAAGAAAAAAATCCGTGTAAATCCGTTCCTTCTCCTTCTCATGTATATATCAGCATAATGTGTTTTAACGGAATATTTGTCAATGCCAGGAGCGAAAAGATGACCTAGCCATATATGTGAAGTTTTAAAAGTCATGGCCTAAATGAGTCCTTCTATTACGGGTTCATAGCTCCATAACAATAAAATATTAGACACAGTGACAGAGATAAAATTATCACCAAGGGGTTAGACAACTACTAAAATATACATTAAAACAATTTGACCTTGTATATACAATGTAACTTTTAAGCGGAAGGGAATTCATCTTGGAGAAAGGGGTCATCACCTTCTGCCCTCTTACCTTTGCCTCTGATTAGTCATATATGCCCCAGGGGCAGCTCAAGTATATGTGGGTGTTGGCCAAGTAAATGTTAGTTTTGAAGATTGACAAAGGAACTCAGGCATGAACCAGGTCCATCCCCTGTGTGCATATAAATGGACAGATTCGAGCATGTGGGATGCACGTGAAGGAGATAAGCTTAACTTGGTATACTTGGTATCTCCTGATCAAAAATGTTGCATAATTGTTAAGGAGAAGGACTCCTTAATCAAAGAGAACACTATCCAAGATAGGGAAGGAGTTAGAAGTTGAAATCAACTAAAACTCTTCCACCAAGGAAGAGTAGCATCAGAATTCTAGTTAATCTTTATTTACTAACTCTATAAATATCAGTGTTGTTCTCTTTTATAGGTGTTGCACAAACGCAGAAGTTAAACGTGAATTGAGAGCAAAATAGCAAGGCAATTTTGCAAGCATTTCATGTGTAATTCAAGTGTGCAAACCTGAAGCTACATGAATCAGATAGAAGAATCAGCATCAACTGTCTGTCTTTTATTCTAGTTCAATTGTAATAGGTGTTTTCATATTGTACCTTTCAGCGTTATCTAGAGGCAATTGTAATAGGTACTCAGAGTTTTCAAGTTAGAGTTAACTTGAAGTTGTCGCAATAGTTAGAGGTTGTGTGCTACAACGTGATTAGAGTTAATCCTAGGTTTATAAAAGAATTTTTGTAAATGCAGTTTTTGGCTCAGTGGTTTTAGTGGAGAGTTTGGAAAAATCCTACTGGAAAGTAGGTCGTAGTTTTTTCACCTTTTGATCTAGGTGTTTTCCATGTAAAATACTTATGTTCTTTACCGCATTTAATATTTCTGCAATAGTAGGTTAAGGAACACTTAGAAGAACCAGGTCCTTCCATAATCAGTTTAAGCAAAAAAATTGGACACCACACAAATCACCCCCC